CAGCAATACTCTCAAGCAATAAACAGGTCAGGTGCAAGACTTTGCCCAATCAGGGCTCAGTACTCTGTTAGAGCCATGATTGGGCAAAGTCATGATGACTGGAGTTCAAATAGAGAGAATCTATAGCAGAGTTCTATAGCAGAGTTCTATTTTCTACCCACGTCAGTTATACCAACCCATTATTACAGTCCACAAAGCAATTTTCAGTAATGGAAACTTCAAGATACCTCATAATACATAAAACATATGTTAATTAACCATATTGAAAACATTAATAAAACGTTCTGGACCTTCGTATACATCACATCACAGTAATGCATATATTCTTTTTAACCTCCAACTATATCATTATTTTGCCTTGTAATCCCCAGCAATACTCTCAAGCAATAAACAGGTCAGGTGCAAGACTTTGCCCAATCAGGGCTCAGTACTCTGTTAGAGCCATGATTGGGCAAAGTCATGATGACTGGAGTTCAAATAGAGAGAATCTATAGCAGAGTTCTATAGCAGAGTTCTATAGCAGAGTTCTATAGCAGAGTTGTATACAGCGTTCTATATCAGACTTCTGTGTCAGACTTCTGTGTCAGACTTCTGTGTCAGAGTTCTGTGTCAGAGTTCTATATAAGAATTCTATATCAGAATTCTATATCAGAGTTCTATATAGAGTTCTGTACTATAGCAGTCAGTCATACTGGTCCAGTGACGGACCTAAGAAACAAAGGGCCTTGGTGCAAGATCTTTTCTCGGGGGCCCCCCCTTCCTGTTCCCAAGGGGGGGTGTCGGAACTGGATCTCACTGGCCGCCTAACCCCCCTCATCTGTCTCTGCACTAAAGGAGCTTGCACTCTAATGTCCCCCACAGTCACACACTATTATTTTACATTCAAATAGCTCTGACATATACCGTAGTACTGTACAGAGAACACTGAACCAGTCACAGCAGTCTCTGTACAGAGGCGCTTACACTCTAATGCAGAATGTCATCATCTGTAGAGGACTACAAATCCAAGCAATACATTATAAAGCAATGTAGAATAATAGTATATGAATTTGGTACATACTCTGTTCTGCCTCTTTGCTCTGGAATGCCGGCCTGATGTCTTGTGCAGAGGGTCTCAGGAGGGGTGCGGAGGGTCTCAGGAGGGGGAGATGTGCGGGTGGCAAAAGCGCTGTAAGCAGGTGCCGGGTGGTTCCACAGAAGGCTGCTGCGCAGGACCTAACGCAGCTGAATCAATTTGAAAAATTTTATTTCCAAGCTGCGGAGGTCAGTTGTAAGGCAGAGTACAGAGCTCAGCGGTGTATCGCAGAGGGCAGAGATCAGTGGTGTAACGCAGAGTGCAGAGGCCAGGGTGTGATGCAGAGTGCAGAAGTCAGGGTGTCACGCACAGTACAGAGGTCAGGGTGTCACGCACAGTGCAGAGGTCAGGGTGTGACGCACAGTGCAGAGGTCAGCAGATGTGATGCAAAATGAATACAAACTTACAGTGCACACAGATGTGATCTGCCCTCTTTCTCTCCTGGTGGTGCTGGGGGGGTGCAGCCATGTTTCCTGCATGTACCAGCAGACTTCTCCCCAGCCAGGTCCCGCTCTCCTGAAGTTTCCAGCCAGAGTGATCCTGCAGTCTTCCTCCTATAGTAGCTGAAGTGGGAGGAGGAAGCTGCAGGTGGCCGCCGACAGACCGATCACTGAAGCCGGAACACGGTAGTGAACAGATTATTCTCCCCTCGGCCTCTCTGTGGCTGCAGCCACTGAGGAGGAGAAGACAGCTGTGTACAGCTGTCACTACTGTGTGCCGGGCTTCAGTGATCGAGAGCGGCGATCACTCTTCTCAGCTCTCTCCTCTCAATGAGAGGGGTGATCGCCGCAGCGGCAGCCGTTTTTAAGTCCCGCTCTGCCTCCAATCCCCGGGACGGACCTCAGTGGGCCCCTACAACCGCCTTGGGCCCTGGGGCAGCTGCACCGGCAGTAGGTCTGCCCCTATACTGGTCTATTATAGCAGTCGATTATAACAGTCAATTCTAACAGTCGATTATTGCAGTCTATTGCAAAAAGCATCATGGCGGAAAGGCCAAAAAGGACAGGCTGGCTCCCCAAGCAGTTGTTTAAAGGATTAAAGGAAAAACAATTACCGGCAATTGAAATGTAATTTTTTTCTTTTTAAATGTCACTTTTTGCTACAGCAGGTTCTATACATTGTACAGATCCACCACTTCACAGTCAGTTTAAGGCAGGCCGCACGCCCCTTGCCATAGGCAAGGCAGGATTAAGGGAGCTGCTGCTCCAGGCCTGTATCTTAACTACCTCCCGGCCGGCCGTTGTAAAAAAACGGCCGGCCGGGAGCTCTCTAGAACAGACACGCCCACTAACGCAAGCCGTGCGGCGCGCGCGAGCGAGAAATACAGCCAATTTAAAAAACGCAGCAATGCCTGTTAACATACAAGTGTGCAAACATGCGCCAGGTGCGCATACCTGCGAAAACGACGATTGCGCCCATTACACCGCACATGTTACATATCGCCGTGAACGTCGCATTGAGAGCAATAATTTTAGGGCCATCAATCACTGATTACACTAACTGATGAGCAGTAAAAGCTATTAAAGCGTCGCCTATGGCCAATTTGGTATATGGTGTTTTTTTGTGATTTCGCGAGTGCGCGCAATTTGAAAGCTTGACATGTTTGGTGTCTATTTACCAGACGTGACCCCATCTCTTATATTTTACCAAAAAATTGGGTGATAATAAATGTTTCCTAACATAATGTAAAACAAACTTTTGTTCTGGGACAGGAGGGGGCGTGGTGGTGCGGCACCACAGCCAAGCCCCCCCCACCCCCTGTTTTTCAAACTATGATCCGGAACCCAGCAATGTCTGAGGGACATTGAGCTGGCCCCATGTTTAAAAAGATTGAGGACCCCTGGTTTAAGGGGACACCCAGAGGCATGATATTTAAAGGAATTTTTCTTTTTCATTCTTATCCTTTAAGTGATGTAAAAATCACTGCTCCTTTAAAAACGTTTTTGTGGTTTTTTTTGTGGTTTTTTTCCCATTGATTCCTGTCCCCTAGTGCAGTGCCCGGACCCCATGTCTTTTTTTTTTGGGGCCAATAACTTGCATATAAACCCTCTTAAAGGGGACAATCGTTTCGTAAAGTTCTAACCTTATTGACTTCCATTGAGTTTGAGTTCGGAATGTCGGGTCTGTCAGAATGTCATTTTGCAAACGGGCCGGCGGCCAGCAGGGTTTTTTTCCGCTGTCGCCGTGGCAACGCTGGACATTGTGATTGATCCTGGATTACATCGGTGGATCAATTTTTGGGATTTTTTTTTTTTAATAAAGGAATTCTCAAAAAATGTTGTGGTGTTTTTATTTCAATTAAATGAATTTTTACAAAAGTCTGGTCTTTTTATTTACGTTTTAACTTTATCCTTTTAGTTATTGAGTAGGGGTACAAGTATCCCTTACTCATTCACAAGGAAGGGGCAGCATCTGGGTGCCTAGTATGGCAGGAAGGGGAGCCGCTCACTCCCCCCCCCCCTCCCCCTTTCCTGCCCTGCCAGGCCTGTGCTCGGATTAAGGGTCTGGTTGTGAATTTTAGGGGGGACCACATGTCCCCCCCCCCTCCCCCATTTTTGGGCGGTGGGGTTCCTCCTTAAACCTGGTATGACTTTTTTTTGTATTTTTAACTTGGGGTCCCTCCAAACATTCCTACCAGACCTAAAGGGTCTTGTATGGATCGAGAGAGCAGAATAGCTGAGTGGCATTCGGCTCTATTCACTTACTGCCATTCGACCCCTATGAGAATAGGGCGCACGGCAGAAAGTGACCTGCCGGAGGTTTGGCTTAACTGATCCAGATGTTGGATCGGGTGAGTCGAACGGCTGATTCACTTCAGGCTCATCAAAGCATGTTTGGCTAAACCAAAGCCAGACGATTTTAGCCGATGTATATCACAGCTATTTAGAGAGGAAAAAAAAAAAACCACCTTCAAGCTATAAACATTTGCCCAATCAAACAAGGGCAACAAAAGAAAACCAATACTTGGCTCAGAGATCCACCTGACATGCTCAGCAGATAGTCATCAACTTGAGAGTGCTGGCAGCGCATGCTGGGATTTTTAGTTCCACTGCAGCAGGAGAAAAGAATGTCCCTTTATTTTGATGTAGATAACAGTAAGTTTTTGAGAAAGCTGCACATGCTACAACTTTATGTCATTTAGTCTTTCCAATACAAAGATACCAGGCTATGTTTCTTTTATGGCTTCCCTCTGACAATACAAACTACAGACACATACTGGTTTAATAAATAATGAAAAAGAGCAATGTAATATGTGTAGCACCCCATAACAACCAGTCAGAAATGTTTCATAATTTTGATTGCTTTTAAGGAATGATAATTAAAAAATGGTTGTCATGGGCTACTTTACTTTGTATGTAATTTTGCACCTTTTGCTACCTTATTAAAAGCCCAGTTGTCTTTAATTGACTTTCAGCATAATTTCTATGTTTTCTTTGCTGCTCATAATGTGGAAAACAAGCATTACGCGCAGTATATTATTGTAACATATTGTAGTAGCAGATTTCATGTAACATACAGAAACAGCAATCCCTTTCTCCATGTGTGCATCCCTTCATCTCGAGCTGATCCTGTGCTCTGATATTAATCTGGGATGCTGTGCTCGTTCAGAGTCAGCGTGTAAGATGAGTGTGATGCAGGGGTGGTGTCTCTGCTTTGCTGAGTTGAGAAGTTTGCTGCAGTATAAAAGCTGATGCTGTCCTCTATCTGCCGCAGTGCCCTGCATCTCTTCACTGTGTGTGTATGCATTAGATGCTGGACTTCTCCTTACATCAGTGAAGCTTTTTCACCTTATGCATGTTCAGTTACCTTCATCTCTGCATTTCTAGCTCCCCAGTTTTCTGTCATTTTATAATCACTGCATGTTTTTTCTCTCATTACATTACTCTTTCTTGACTTTTTTTATTTTCCTTTAATTACATTCTGTTTCCATAACCTCATCATGTTCAGCTTCAGCACGGAACGTTCCATGGGTCCCGTCACTTATCGCAGACCCCCAGGAGATGCCTATCTTCGGTCTAGTTCTGTCTCCCTCACCCACAGTGGCAGTAGCAGCTTTCAGTCCCAGACTCGGAGTCGGCGAAGTGCCCTTTCCTACAGTGAAAGTCCCGAGCCCTCAAATGGGCCAAGGGATGAAAAAGAGGCCTTGCAGGGGCTGAATGACAGGTTTGCTGGCTATATCGAGAAGGTGCGGAGACTGGAAGAACAAAATCATAACTTACAACAAGAAGCAAATGAACTTAGAAAGCAGCAGGCTGGTATCTCAGCCATCGGGCAGTTGTATGAAAGGGAGATCCGAGACATGCGTAACCAGCTCCTGAAAATCAACTCTGAAAATAGTCAAGAGCAGTTAGAAAAAGACCGGCTAAATGAGGATATTGAGATGCTGAGGATGAAAGCACAAGAAGAGGAAAGAGTGAAAGAGGAAACTTTGGCTGCTGAGAGGACACTGAGGCAGTACCTGCAGGAGTGCAGCCTAGAGAGCGAGCAGATTGGAAGAAAGGTGCAAGCTTTGCAGGATGAGCTCACCCATCTGGGCGAAGGTCACCACGAGGATGTTGAGGACCTGCTTAGCCAGATACAAGGTAGTCAAATCACAACACAGCAACTGGGAGAAGTGCCTGGTCTGGACTTGGCATCAGCCCTGAAAGAGATCAGAGCTCTACTAGAAGGCCACATAGGCAAAAACAACTTGCAGACTCAAGAATGGTTCAAAGGTGAGTGAGATGAGGCAGAAGGGAAAACATACATAGCTTTAGCAAATTTGTAAATTAAAGATGCTAACTTTTATTAGGCTGTCTCCTGTATCCCTCATAACTCAAGTCTGTCAGCAGCCCAGGTTGGAGACACAGCCTTCACTAGGTATAAAACCTGCATGTTATCTTCCCTTGATCTTCTCTGTTGTATGATTCTGCTCAAAACTTCCAACATGGTTCTTAGAGGATTATTTGAAACCTACTGCATTGTACAGATGAATTCAGATATTTACTGTTGTCTGTATGAACTGCACTTGTGATGTAAAAACTTCCTTTAGTAGTGAGAAAGGCAACCACATACTGTGAATGGGTTGATGCCTCCAGGCTATGAAGAGGTTACTTTTTTTGCATATGAAATTCCTGAGTCATGGTTAGGTTCTATATCCGTGCCTGCCCCTCCCCTTTATCTTCTCTTGAGCATCAATCGGAAGAAGGTGCTAATGTTGCGTCACAAAAAAACCCAGCAAATCCTGTAATCGATGCAGGCAATTGCATCTAGCAAATCTATGAATTAAACTAAACCTAATTCAGGAGCAATATAATATCAATGGTGAGATAAAACTACTTGACTCTTATTTCTAGTGTTATTGGTAGGCAACAATGGAAAAAAATAGAAATCTACGCAAGTATAACAGTAAGATTTACCTTGGGACGCTGGTGATATTCCTAGCAAGCAGCTCTGCAGTGCAGTATCGCAGCGTCATTCAGTCATGTGCTACAGCACTTGTCAGAGCAGTAAGACGTGTACAAATACACTCCACTGTATGTCTTTGACTTGTCTATACATTATAGCAGCATTACAATCAAGGTGTTCGGCTCTCAGAGACTGGAACAGCAGTAATCCGTTGAATTACATTGTCATAGTCCATACTAAGTATCCACTATCGTTTCAGCAGTCTCATTCAGGACATCAAAGTGCTGCATCATTTTAATAGCAGAGGTTACACAGATATTCCGACATTTCATAGGACAGACCTTCTCAAAGTCAAAAAGGTTGAAGCCATGAAGAGAGGCCACAGGCCTAACAATGTTAGTGGGGAACAAGGATTTAATGAAGAACACACATGTAACAAACAAACTTAATTAAATGATGTGTTGATTGCTAACAGCATTGCAAAAGCAAGTGTGGCACCAGGGTGGTGGAGCCAGGCCTCTATGGTCAGAGATACTCAACTGCGCAGATTCTGTATGATGTATTGAGCTTAAGGGCAAAAAGGGAGGAGCCCTTAAGGCTTTTTTACTTTACTAAAACGGACCTAAAATGTATTTCTCTTTGGAATTAGATTGTTTAAGAACCTGTAATTTTGGTGTGAGATTGAATATTGGGTGGGGCATTGGCAGACTTGGTCTGGAAACTTCTTATGGCAATAACAAATGGGTCCCTGATGCGATATTCATTATATATCCTGTTACTGCTTCATTTAAAGGCAAATGCATTTCAAAGTGGCCTTCTTTGCACTTGGTTTGAAAATAGAATGGTTTAAATGAAGTTCCCTTCATAAATACTTGATGGAAGGGACTAATAGACCGGAGGGGAGGGGGCGCACCAAATTTGAGGAGATTTGGTGACATCACCTTTTACTGACACACACAGCAGATATGATTCAGCAATATTTCTCAAGGGTAGATAGAACAATACCCATAGCAGCCTCTGCAGCTCTAATTTGGCATGAGTGGTTTGTTTGCTTTCCTGACTCGCTCACCCCTGCAGATTCCAGGGACCACTGCTATTATTGGTACTTGTATGGAACAAATGTCTTTTAATAGCACATTCATCATCATTGGTGATCCTTAGTATCATTAGTGCCTTGCAGTATATTTTTTCTTTTGCTATTTATAATATTGTTTATGATCGTATCATGATCACCCTCAAATGTACCAAGTGCATAGGCTTGTAACTAGAAGCTAACCTATAAATGTGCCAGTAAATGATACCAAAGCTGAATGAAGCCTAGTTTAAGGGTGTGTTATAAGCCTTTAACCTGCACTGACAACTGACACAAAGGATTCTTATTATTGCCATGTACCCCGCAAAGTGACAATTGTGCTGGCCTGTCACCTCTAACATATGTTTAAAGCGTATCTAATCACAATAATTTATTTTTTAGGCCTTTGATGTGGTGGCTTCATTTATTTTTTTTCTTAGGCCTATTTTCCTTTCATCTGGTGATCCTGGCAGTAGCACCCTTCCTGTTCTAGGGTGACCACACTAGCTCACTGCACTGAATTTATTGAGGAACAGATTACAGAATACCTTCCACTTTAATCTTCTTTATAATGTAGGAGGTGTTCTGTGGGCCTGAGAGACTTCCTGATAACATTGTTTGATAAAACTGAAGCGTGCGCAGTACAGCATTTGGTCAATGGATTACTGGCAGGACCAACAGATTTTTTTGCACTTATTGATGCCTATTGGTACATTTAATTGACCAAAAGGTAGTATATAAGAGAAGTTCATAGTTATGGTTTACAGATAAGTTATTAACCATATTGTTGCAGCCAAGATGTTGTTTCTCCTGTTTTTTTAAGCTATGCATTAGCAACTATCACAAATACTAAATGGCAAATGTGCGCTGTTGTCATTCTATGTAATCTCTAGATTTTGTTATTATTTATCTCATAATACTAATGTATGATTCACAGTGAAGCTGGACAGACTGAATGAGGCTTCCCATGTCAATACTCATGCCATCCGCTCTACTAATGATGAGATCACCAACTATCGTCACCAGTTACAGAGTCAGATCACTCAGTTGGAGATACTCAAAGGATCCCAACAATCAATGGAGCGCCAATGTATGGATCTAGAGGATCGCCACCAGGCAGAACTGGCATCTTACCAGGTAGGAAACCAAGCTTCTATTTTGTGCTTTTCAGCCATCGTTATGCACATTTGTACTTTAAAAATTGATTTTAAAAGCAACAAACAAAGATTTGCAGTTTTATTCAATGTAATGTTATTTTATTACCATGAGAAGAACCCTTATTTTTCTAGAACTGAGTGCCTAGAGAGACTGACACCGCTGTAACATCATACCTCCCAACTGTCCCTCATTTGGAGCTAATTTCCGCTGTCCCTCTTTCCTCCTCAGTTGTCCTCCTTTTTGGTCTGATCTTCAGATGTATGAAAATGTTCCATTTACTACCAAACATGTTTTCTACATTTAAACCATTATCTTTTACCTTATCTCTTAATTATCTTGTTTTTCTTCTTTTTGAAAAGCCAATATAAAGCTAATGGTGAAAAAAAACAACACTGTGTTTAACCAATCATTTTTGGCATATAGATAGTCGGTATAACTGGGGACATGGTAGGGGTGTGTCTGTTGCCTAAATACATTGGGGGGAATTGATCAAAACTGGTGCAGACAGAGTCTGGAGTAGTCCCCCACGACATCCAATCAGCTTCTCTATTCCTTTTATCCAGGTAAGCTTTAAAAAGAAAGAGAGACTTGATTGGTTGTCATTGGCACCTGCTCCAGATTCTGTCTGCCCCAGCTTTGATAAATTTCCCCCACTGTATTAGAAAGTGTGCCTCTTTCGCATCTCAGAAAGTTGGGAGGTTTGTGTAACATAAAAAAAATATAACTTGGACCTGTACCCCAAATGTAAACAAAACTCAACACAGACATTGATTAATACTATGTTTCAAATGTGCATTTAGGGCACTTTGTTGGATGTGTTGAATGTGTTGATGTCTTGCTGCACACTTACAAAACGCGGTTGGTTTCGGCTATTGTTTATTATGCTTGAATTTGGGTCTTTTTGATGCTGTACATCTCTGCAATGTGGGAGCCAGTGTGATGCCGGACTTGATCCCACATCGCATGTTGCAATGTTAGGTGCACTGCAGTGCCATTATTTCTTAATTGCACCCCAATGCAGCCATTGCATGTGCATTGTATCACACCACATCCCATGGTAACCTATTACCATACAAAGTTGTGTGATGCGATAAGAAAAAAAAAATGATTTATCTATCTATCTATCTATCTATCTATCTATCTATCTATCTATCTATCTATCTAATCTTTTACTAAAAAAAACAGTACCCTGATGAGTGATAAGTGATATTATGGTTTCCTGAATTTTTCTTCACCCTCTTTTTGTTTGCACCAGGACACTCTGCAACAACTGGAAAATGAGCTAAGAAACACTAAATGGGAAATGACTGCTCAGATTCGAGAATATCAAGATTTGCTGAATGTTAAGATGGCCTTAGATATAGAGATTGCGGCCTACAGGTATAAAGGGGAGATTCCAGGGAGGTCTAAATTGTATTTATAATATGTCCTATTTAAAATTAAAAAAGGACTCTCACATGTGCTGCTGAAGGTTTTATATGTATACAATTGTCATTCTAACTAGTTTTTAAAGAAAAAAAGGTCATCTTGTCTTACAGGATTGCTGATGCACAAGCCTAACTTTCGTAGCCAAAGAATTTCCCAGAGCTTTTTAGGTGGAGCAGGTTTATTTCATGATATGCCATTATGGAAGTACATATTTATAGAGACAAAGGAAATGGCTTTTCAGATTAATTGAAATTCATTACTTAAAGTGGAAGTCAACTAAAAATGTTTAACTTTGCTATGTTATAGGGAAAATTTAGAAATGTTATTATGGCAAAGCAGTACCCTAAAAAATTTACCTTTTGTTTGGAATTCCTCCTGAAAATTAGCAGTATTCTTCCTTGTATCCGAGTGTGCCTGGGCACTCCTGATAGCTGTATCTCTACAGTGTGAGATCTAGGCACTGCTGCCTCTGACTGCTAGTCTCAGGAGATTTGGAGTAAGAGTTGGTTATGTTGCTACTGTTCTACTCACTGTTCTTAGTGGGAGGTTCTGACAAGAGGCAGCAAAAGCCCTGCCTCTACCAAGATGGCCACCTCTACACACAGTGCAGAACACATAAGTAATAAGAAAGGATCAGCTGCAGGGAGACTACAAGCAATACTGGTGTCTAGTCCTTCACTCTCTGTCTGCCCTTTTTTGGGCATAGATTCCAGAGTTCAAATTTTCTTTTAAGGGAATTAATAATGGTTTTCTATATATTTTCTTTATCTATGTGCTTATTATGGTCAGAAAGCTGAAATGTATGCACACAACTGAATGTTGTGTTTTCTTATATTTTTTAGCCTATACCTTTAACTCATATTGAGTAGATAAACTGGTAAACCATTATTCCAGAATCACATTTTCCCATAAGGTTCAATGTAAATGAGGTTAATCCGTTCTGAACCATATGAAAAAAAATGATTTAACCACAAAAATATGACACAAAGTACAGTACAGTATGAAGAGAGTGAATACTAACTTTTCTTGGAGCGACTTGTGGCATGGAGGACAGGAAGGTGGGTGGGGAGGAGGTTATTGTTTGGTGGGAGAGTCCCCCTCCATAAGGACATTGGGAAGATCTCCTTCAAAGGTTTCCTCTCTTCTTTGTCTCTTAGCTGCAGGGTCAATTTTGCCGAAAAATCTGTCTAATGTCACCTGTTTTTTCCTGCGCTGCATAACCCTCCAGGAAATGAGAGACCACGTTATCGTTCATCAGATTCACTTTCTTTTTACCACCATGCTTGCTCTGCACTTTCTTTGGAGCCATGCTGGATTGAATAATACTGTACAGTACTATATGTGCTAAAAAGCACACAAAAAAGCTTCACAGCGAGTGTGCACAGGTCTGTCTGCAAGCATGATCTCGACTAGAGGAAGCCACTACCACGTGTCAGAGCGGGGAAGATGGCCGCGGTCGTGTTCGTCACCCAATGCAGAGTTCGCGAACGGAGGCAAAATTTTGCCGAACTTCCTGTTCACAAACCAAATTGTTTCCGACCAGAAGCGTTCATGAACCGAGGTACCACTGTACTTATTTACACATAAAATAAGTCAAGCTTATTGGTCTGCAGTTTACTGGTTGTAGCTTCAAGCGAAACTCCAGAAAAACTATCTTAAAGTAGTATTAAACTCTCAAACATTTTTCAGTTATGAATCTGGATTACAATTGTGAATCCAGATGAAACAAATACACATTGCCCAGCAAAGCATTGCTTTATATATTTTCCAAAACACTTACAATCATCATGTTTCTGAACAGCTGCTTCCAAGTCTCTCTTTGAACTTCCTCTCCAGTACAAAATCACAAAGGACAGTGCAGACTCCAGCAACTGTTCATCTACTAGCTTGGAGAAAGGAGGAGAGGGGGCCAGGGGGCCAGGGGGGAGGGGAGTAGCTTGATTTGCTGTGTCTGTGTGTTTGTGGAGACAAACACAGCTTACTAACACACAAGGGTGACTCCATAGCATTCTGCTTGAGAAAGGAGTCACCCTAAAACAGGATATCAGGACCAGTGCTCAGGGGGCATATTAGGGTGTAGGTTATATAGCGTGGCGTATCTAGCTTGGAGAAAGGAGGAGAGGGGGCCAGGGGGCCAGGGGGGAGGGGAGTAGCTTGATTTGCTGTGTCTGTGTGTTTGTGGAGACAAACACAGCTTACTAACACACAAGGGTGACTCCATAGCATTCTGCTTGAGAAAGGAGTCACCCTAAAACAGGATATCAGGACCAGTGCTCAGGGGACCAGCTGATTCTGCAGGAAACTAAAACTTTTAAACATCAAGTAGCAGCATCCATTGTAAGTGATTTCATCATCAGTTGAATAAGCCTAAACTCCTTTTGACTTCAATATCAGATTGGTAATACGTTGGAGTGTCTAGTATTAACTGCTATCTGTGACCCTGCTAGTAAAGTCTTCTATTCCATAGTTTGACGGTGACAGTCAGGTGTCCTCTCTAAAATTAAAGCCATGACTTTACTTTCTTAAATGCATTTGTCAAATGTTTAAACACTCCACTGCACTCCGGGGCAGTTCCCCCATAGGTGTATATAGGGATACTGATAATGAATGGAAAGCACTGGCAACTCTTTCAAAAGGCTAGATAGAAAATTATGCATTTAAAGGGGACAAAAGTCCACAAACATTGATTATAACCTATGTAAGTGCCACATACAGTAACTAAAGTTTATGGCTCAGCTTTTTTTAAGTAGCCAATTTCTTTTCCCTGACATCTTTACAGAGCTGGAGGTATATTTACAGAATGACACATAGAAGTCCTTAGTTTTATTGCAGTGCATATTTTATCCATGGTAAGGGTGCTGCATGTCTAGAAGGATTCCAGGGAAATTCACTGTTTCTATTAGAACTGATTGTGTGATTATAATAGTTGTGTCTTTCCACATTGTCTTTCTCAATATCTATAGAAGAGAAGCAGATATGACTTAAGAATGAAGTTTGCTAAAATTATTGGCATGTAAAAAGGTGAAGTAGTTTACTTTTAGAGCATATATAAACAAATTTTGTTTCTTAGCATTGGTACTGTAAAACTTCTTGGTATTTGAAATTGTTATCATTGTGTTTCTCAGCTTCAGTCTTTGTTAACTCTTAATATGTTGATTGCATTCTTTATGTCTCCATAAAACCCAGTGGAACCCTGCCATTTTTTTATCTTCTAAATCCACTTAGGGAACGAGAGCGCTGTTGATTAGAGCAGCGTGCTTGGGGGCATGTCAGACCCCTGGAACTGTGCTGTTGTATTATGTGTGAGAGCAGCCAACTGACTCTCCTAAGTGCTGCCAGTGCAAGATATTTTAACCCTTTCTGCAGTACTCAGCAGTAAAAGAGTAGCATATTTTTTAATGTGGCAGAGCCCATCCCGTTGTCTGTGGAGCAGCTATGCAGTGATGGGTCAGGTGCATTGAGAGGCTTTAAAAACATGCCCTCAATCTTGTCCTATGTAAGGACAAAAGATAAAAGTACCAGTTTAGTGCTTTAACAGCAGTGCAGCTTTGCCTGATATCTAATATAAATGTTTAACTAAAGAACAGCAGGCCTTTGATGAATTTCCAGTACCTTCCAAGTGCTTCAATCAATTCATAGTTTTGCTTTTTTTAAATTAGAGTTTTTGTAGCTCCTTTGTTCAACATTTCATTTAACATCAAGTGAAATTTTCTATATTGGGGTCATCGTTGCCAGAATATTTTAAAGAAGACAGGGTGAGTGTTCAAAGTGCACTTATTTTTTAAGAATAAAAAGCCTAGAGCTGACTGAACACATACTGATACAAACAAGAAAAAGGAAACAAAATTGTATATATACATCTGTAGACAGTGTATATTGACATCAATTCCAGGAAGAGAATTTCAGGTGTGGTCTTGAAGGCATATGTTCTATTTTTTTGCATATGTATATGTTGTGGATATTCTGATTTTCTTATTGTTGTAATAGAAACAATTGGTCTATGGAAAATGATTTGTTTGTATGAGTATATAATATGTGTTGTACCGTTAATGTCCAAATTTGTTCCTGTTTTAAATATAAGCTTACAATGATTTCTACTTGTTAAGATTATACAGTTTATAACTGTTCTACCAGTATTATATTAACTTTGAAGTATGCCAATATGATAAAACATGTTCGCTATTGTTGTGTTTACCTATAGAAAACTACTGGAAGGAGAAGAATGTCGCATTGGAACAAGTTTTGATCGTTTTCCATTCGATGACAGAACTCCAAGAATCCCAAGTACACCAAAGCATATTAAAGTTAAAAAAGAAGAAAAAATTAAGATTGTGGAGAAATCAGATAAAGAAACTGTAATTGTGGAGAAGCAGACAGAAGAAACACATGTAACTGAGGAGGTAACAGAAGAAGAAGTAATCACATCTCCTGAAAAGGAGCATGAAACAGGTGAAGAGACACCTGAAGAGCTATCAGAGAAGGAGGGGGAGAAAGATACAGAAACGGAGGAAGTAGAAGATGAGAAAGAAGGAGAACATGAAGACAGTAAATCAACAGAGGGGACGGAAGATAGAGAAAGTGAATCAACTGAGGGTGAGGCAGAAAATTTTGAGAAACCTGAAATCCACGAACCAAGCAAAATAAAGGAGCCTGAAATAAAAGCAAAAGACAAAGAAACAAATGATGAAGACTCAAAAAAGGAAGACAAGGGAAAATCGGGAAGGAGTGAGAATGGACAATCAGTACAGAAAAAAGCGAAAGAGGAACCAAATGACAAAGATAAGCAACCTTTAAAAAAAGAAGAGAAATCTATGCCAGCGAAAAAAGAAGAGCCTACTAAAGAGGATGAAAAAATTGCCAGCAAAAAAGAGGAAAAGAAGGCCGACACCAAAGATGAAAAGAAGAAACCTGCTAAGAAAGATGACAAAGAAAAGGAAGATGAAAAGAAAACTGTGAAGAAAGAAGAGAAGACAGATGATAAAAAAGAGGTACAGGGAGAGGATATTAAACCTACTGAAACAGAAGACAAGAAACCAGCTAAGCAGGAGGAAAAGAAGCCTTCTACAGAGAAAGAGAAGAAACCAGCTACGGAGGAAAAAAAGAAGCCTTCTACAGAGAAAGAGAAGAAACCAGCTACAGAGGAGGAAAAGAAGCCTTCTATAGAGAAAGAACAGAAACCAGCTAAGGCTGCAGAGGAAGATGAAGAAAAGAAACCTGCAAAAGCAGAGGAAAAGAAACCCACCAAAGAAGAAGAAAATAAATCAGATAAAGCAGAGGACAAGAAACCACCTAAGTTGGAGGAAAGGGAATCTGCAAAGGAAGAAAAGAAGAAACCAGCCAAGGAAGAGGATAAGAAACAAGCTGAAGAGAAGGTAAAACAGCCTCCTAAGAAAGAAGAGAAGAAAGCATCTGTAGAAGAGGAAAAGAAGCCAGCTAAGGCAGAAGAAAAGCCACCCACCAAGGAGGAAGAAAAGAAGCCAGCAACAGAGGCGAAGAAACCAGCTAAAGCAGAGGAAAAGCCACCCATCAAAGTAGAAGAAAAGAAACCAGCTGCGGTAGAGGAAAAGAAACCAGCAAAGGTGGAAGAAAAACAAGTCACTAAGGAAGAAGATAAGAAGCCAAGTAAGGTAGAGGAAAAGAAACCAATTAAGGCAGAGGAAAAGCAACCAGCTAAGGGAGAAGAACAACAACCTACAAAAGATGAAAAGAAGCCAGCTAAGGCAGAGGAGAAAAAGCTGACCAAAGAGGAGGAAAAGCAACCAGTTAAGGAGGAAGAAAAGAAGCCAGTAAGTACAGATGAAAAGAAATCCACTAAAGCAGAAGAAAAGGAAACAGTTAAGAAGGAAGAAAAGAAACTAATCAAGGTTGAGGAAAAGCAGACCATTAAGGAGGATGAAAAGAAGCCAACTAAGGCAGAGGAGAAGAAACCAGCTAAAGTAGAAGAAAAGCAGGCAGTAAAGGAAGATGAAAAGAAGCCAGCTAAAGCAGAGGAGAAGAAGCCTGCTAAAGTAGAGCAAAAGCAAGCAGTTAAGGAGGATGAAAAGAAGCCAACTAAGGCAGAGGAACAGAAACCTGCCAAGGTAGAGGAAAAACAAACAGTTAAGGGGGATGAGAAGAAGACTGATAAGGCAGAGGAGAAGAAACCACCAAAGGTAGAAGAAAAGCAACCAGTTAAAGATGATGAAAAGAAGCCAGCTAAAGCAGAGGAGAAGAAGACAACCAAAATAGAGGCAAAGGAACCAAGTAAGGAACATGAAAAGAAACCAGCCAAGGCAGAGGAAAAGCAACCAGCCAAGGTGGAAGAAAAGCAATCCGTTAAGGAGATAGAAAAGAAACCAGCTAAGGTAGAGGAGAAGAAAACAGCAAAAGAAGAGCAAAAGCAACCAGCCAAGAAAGATGAAAAGAAGCCAGTTAAGGAGGAAGAGAAGAAACCTACTAAAGTAGAGGAAAAAGATACAAAGAAGCCAGCTAAAGTAGATGAGAAAAAGCCAAAGACCGAAGAAAAACAGCCAGTTAAAGAAGACGGGAAACTGGCAGCTAAAACTGATGAAAAAGACTCATCTAAAGTTGAAGACAAATCATCACAAAAAACACCTAAGACAACTGAACCATTAAAAAAATCTGAAAAAGAGCAAGGTATAAAAAGTAAAGTAGAGAAAAGTGAAAAGTCTTCTGGTACAGATCAAGTAGAGAGTGACTCAACTCAGGTAGGAAAGAAAGGTGAAAAATAATGTAACTTATTAAAGACTAGACCAAGCAGATGGTTGGATCCACCAAAGAGGTCAATAGAGATCCAAGAATCATACTCTGAAACTGTCAATCTCAGAGACTATGCCTTGACGTGGTGAACCCCCACTGTATTTCTGTTGAGCAGAATGAACAATAAGCTAGCCACACACTAGAGTGACCAGGAGCAACAATAGCTCTGCGGGTTGCTCTAGTTCAGTGGTTCAACCCTCTTCTTAAGAAACTGCAACACTTATGTGCTACCAATCACGTAGAATATGCTTATGGGGTGACAAAAGGGGGGCAATGGCAATATAATATTGCATTAATTATTCCACTTGCAATAGCTATGATTATAGGATGTAGGTATAATTTTGGGATTCATGGAAATACTTTTGGGATATTTTGGCACTAACATATAAAGAGGGAAAAGGAAAAGCTAAAGAAAAACATATCAGAAGAATATGGAATATGGCTTAATGAGTATTTAGAGTCAATAAGAAGGTGAGTTAAAATGTTTTTGATTTAAAGACAGGTCAGTGAAAGAATACTTCACAAAATGTTGCCATGCATAGTCTTAGCAGTTACCTTCAGATCCAGTTAATGAGGTTGTTGTGGTCTGCCGGGCACATAGAAGCCCTAATTATTAATGTAGATTTCCTGCTATTCAGATAAAATGAGAAATTCCATAGAGATTTACACATGTAAGATCCTACGTTTATTAAAATGAGATGTTCCAGATCTTTTCGGCTAACACTTAAAACTTACTGGAAAATATCCACCTTGCTTAATGAAATGGGACGCATAAAAGACACTTTTAAGTGGTGTCATGATTCTTGTGAAATCTTCTATAAGACCTCTAAAAATCAGCAGCATATTGGGTCCGATGACTCATTCTACTTTTATATTTTGGCATAGCAAATATATACAAATAGAATCAGCTGCATATGCTGCTGTAGTGTTTAGATTTCTGATAAACTTTTGAAAATTAACAAGAATCATAGGAGTAATGTTTTCCAGCATTTCAATAAACATTATGTAACCTGGCTATGTTTAATATATACAGATAAAAGAGAGACACCCACATTCTCATTGTTTCTAAAGGGAAAACTAATTAAATTATTATAACCACAATTTATTTTAAAGGATTATGTAATTGATATAAGTGCCAAATTGGCAAAAAGAAGAGATGGTTGGGGGAAGTTTTGTGAAGCCTTAACTTGTAGTAATTATCCAAAGTAAGAAAGCCATGTGGTTTGGGTTTTGTCCATCTAGGTCTTCCTATATGAAGACACAGGTGAAATATTCCCTAGTAGAAGAAACCGGAAAAAAAACCCCTGTAGACCCACGAACCAGAAGGTTCTTCTAGTTGAAGATGCCTTCTCAGCAAATTAATGAATGTAATGAAAAAAATCAATCAGGGAAGTAACATGGGAGTGTATAAGCAGCAATATACAGAACCTAGCCTTGAGGAAGACAGTTACATTAAACACACATGCACTTTCTGTCCTGTTTGGTAAATGCAATGCAGCAGAACTTCCAGTATGAATGATATCACCTGGAACTCAATGGTCTATTATGCTTCCAAATTATTTTCTATATGTATTAAACCATGCTGTGTAAATGTCACATGCTGGAAAAAACCACTTAGCAGTCAATTAAGCTCAGGTTAATGCCATAGGAAGCAAGTCGAAAGAACAGTAACAGAGCGACCAGGGATGGTGTGGTGAAATGGGCCATGCTGTATGCTAGAGTTTCAGCCTGCGTAGTTAATGATGCACTATTCCAGCCTTTAAAAAAACTTGCTTTTCAATTTGTGCAATATATAGTTATGTATAAATAAAATTATTTCAAACACGGTAGAGATGTGTGTTCTTCAAGGAAAATGAATCTGTAAGTTGTCTCATAATTGTTTTATATAATGACTTCAAGTACAGTAGAAGTTCTTAGGTCAAGTTTTTTTACAAACAGCAACTGCTACGGAAAAAGTCAGACAAATATTACAGCTTACCAGTCCTATGATATGATATCTGCATTTGTGGGTTTTTTTGGCTTTTATTCTCCTTTTTTTCCCATGGTGATCCTGTCAGTAACCCACTTCCTGTCCTAGTGTGGCAAAGCTTATTAATTGTACTGAGTCTATTAGACAGTAGCATTGCCATCCTAGTACAGAAAGTGTGTTAGAAATAGTGATGAAGTTCTCTGGTCAAGTTTTTTACAAACAGCAACTGCTATGGAAAAAGTCAGACAAATATTACAGCTTACCAGTCCTATGATATGATATCTGCATTTGTGTTTTTTTGGCTTTTATTCTAATTTTTTCCCATGGTGATCCTGTCAGTAACCCACTTCCTGTCCAAGTGTGGCAAAGCTTATTCATTGTACTGAGTCTATGGAACAGTAGCATTGCCATCCTAGTACAGAAAGTGTGTTAGAAATAGTGATGAGCCGAACAGGTCCGAGTTCGATTCGAACTTTAGAACATATTTAGGAGGGACACTGTGTAAAAAAAAGACAAAAAGAAAGTGTGTGGGGTTCCCCTTCAAAGTCATACCAGGCCCTTAAGGTCTGGTAGGAATTTTAAGGAGGAAACAAACCCCCA